CTCCCGGGTGAGACCAGGCCCGGCTGCTGCTGGCGCGGCAGCGCCGAGCGGGCGGTGAGCAGTGCGGGGAGGGGGGCGGCCCCGCGGGGCGGGGCGGGAGGTGCCGCGAGTCCCCGGCGCTCGAGTCCGGGTCCTGGATGGGGCGCGGCGAGTAGAGAGGCGCCCGGGGCTCGCGGCCGCGTCGCTGTNGCCACTACACGGCCGTGCAGAACAGCAAGAACGCCAAGGACAAGAACCTGAAGCGGCACTCCATCATCTCCGTGCTGCCGTGGAAGAGGATCGTGGCCGTGTCGGCCAAGAAGAAGAACTCCAAGAAGGTGCAGCCCAACAGCAGCTACCAGAACAACATCACGCACCTCAACAATGAGAACCTGAAGAAGTCGCTGTCGTGCGCCAACCTGTCCACGTTCGCCCAGCCCCCGCCGGCCCAGCCGCCCGCCCCCCCAGCCAGCCAGCTCTCGGGTTCGCAGACCGGGGTCTCCTCGTCCGTCAAGAAGGCCCCGCACCCTGCCGTCAGCTCCGCAGGGACGCCCAAACGGGTCATCGTCCAGGCGTCCACCAGCGAGCTGCTGCGCTGCCTGGGCGAGTTTCTCTGTCGCCGGTGCTACCGCCTGAAGCACCTGTCCCCCACGGACCCTGTGCTCTGGCTGCGCAGCGTGGACCGCTCGCTGCTGCTGCAGGGCTGGCAGGACCAGGGCTTCATCACGCCGGCCAACGTGGTCTTCCTCTACATGCTCTGCCGGGATGTCATCTCCTCCGAGGTGGGTTCCGACCACGAGCTCCAGGCGGTCCTGCTGACCTGCCTGTACCTATCCTACTCCTACATGGGCAACGAGATCTCCTATCCGCTCAAGCCCTTCCTGGTGGAGAGCTGCAAGGAGGCCTTTTGGGACCGCTGCCTCTCCGTCATCAACCTCATGAGCTCCAAGATGCTGCAGATCAACGCTGACCCCCACTACTTCACGCAGGTGTTCTCCGACCTGAAGAACGAGAGCGGCCAGGAGGACAAGAAGCGGCTCCTCCTCGGGCTGGACCGGTGAGCCCGCTAGCCTGCATCATGGCTCAAGGATTCAATTCATTTTTAAAAATTTATTCTTAAATCAGATTTTGTGTACAGTATGTGTCTAGCAAAGCCACCAAGGGTCTCTCCCTTCCCACCTCCCCTCCTTGGGGTTTTCCTCCGCCCTGCCAAGAACTCTGGGCGCTTCTGAACTCCTGAACCTTGTGCAACATTCAGAAGATGTATTCAGAGCCACTCCGGCCCCTGACCTCTCACTCTGGGGAATTGAAAGGACTGACCGGCCTCTGCCGCCTGCGCCTTTGCTGGACCAAGGCAGGGAAGGCGGCCCACAGCCAGGGAGGAACGGGAGTTTCTGGTTGGAGGCCATTTGCTGGTCGTCTGTTCTCCCAGAGGCTCCTGGACTGCGCCGCACGTGAGCTTAGAAGGCCAAATGCCCGTGGCCCTGGGACAGCCTCTTCAATCGAGGGGAAGCCGGCCTGGTGCGGAGATCATGTCCTCTTAATTTGGCCATGCACGACCCTGGTTTGCTCTTTCTTCTTTTTTCGGGAGAAGGGCTTTCCTTTGTGGAGACATGGAACCGCCCCCACACCCCCTCCTCCAAACCTCCCCTCCTACGCCTCCCACCCCCAGCCCTGTTGGTAGTGTTGGTTAATGAGCTGGTTTGACTCACTAAGTTCTTTCATTTTGGGTCCCGGCTCCCAAGGGGTGGGGTGATGCCAGGGACAACTCCTTTCTTGGGTGAATTTTTCATTTGAATCATGCAGCTTAGTCATCCCGTGGCGAAGGCCAGGGCAGCTGCAGGTGCCCATTGTCAACGGCCTGCCTCCCAGGGAAGGTGGGGCTGCCATGCCTGGGACTGAGCCGGTGCCCACCTAAGGGCTCAGGCTTCTGCCGGTGCCCATGACGTTTGCCCTGTGGAGCTGCAGGGGTTGGGGCGGGGGTGATGTCAGGGATCAGGGTGATGTGGTAATGATGCACCCCTCCCCTCACCCCCTGTTGATTTAAAGCTGTTTCCAAACAGTTGAGTCTCTCCTGAAGACGAAGCCTTGTCCCGAAAGGCCCAGTGAGACAGCTGGATCTTGGAGACAATTACGAGCCGGGAGCCGAACTCCTGACTGCCTGCTGATTCTCCCACTGATCATTTGCAGCTGCTTGTTTGGGTCTCCACCTTCAACCCCAGTGGCTGTAAAAACCCATGATGTGTCACTTAATTTTCTTTCTGATTCTCCCAGATCGGTGGCTGGGGGCTTGGGAGAGGACCCAGAGAAGGGAGCCAGCCTTCTGCGATCCCTCTGGCTTTGGGGAACAAAGACTGATGTGAAGGCCCACAGAGAATTCTCTCTTCCAGTCTCAACCCCCCATGGGGGGCTGGAAGGGGAGGCTGGGGGTGGGGGAGGCAGGGGGCCGTTTTACATAGGATTAGCTTCCAGGTGGCTGCCATTTCAGCACAAGCACTACTGAAATTCACATAAAAAAGAGAAAGCTGTGAAACTGAGGTCCCGATTTAATAGGCCCGGCGTTGAGCCTGCGGGCCCCGTGGTGCTCGCAAGAACGAGGGCCTGCCCTAAGCTGGGAGCATGGGCCTCAGCTGCGCCCCGAGGCTCACGCTGAGCTGCTCCCAGCACCGCCGGCCAGATTTACCTGCCGCAGGGCTGGAAGGAACCCGCGGCTGCCGGCGGGGACCTCGCGTGCAGCGCCTCTTCTCCGCGGGAGTTGTCACACAGCCTGTCTGTGCAGATCCTGCTGCCGTGTGTGACCCGAGGTAGGCGGCCGGTGGGGGCGTCGGGGCCCCGGCGGCACGCGAGGGTGGGGGTGGGGTGGTGTCGGGGGGGCCGAGTGTCAAGAGCCGGGACCCGGGGTCTCGAGTTGCTCCTTTGTGGGCCTTGCCGGGCCTGAACTGCGGGAAGGCACGCCCGCGGGATTCCAGTTTTGTGTGTTTCCTTCTCTCTCTCTCTCTCCGTATTTATTTTTTTAATTTATGGAGGCGGTGCAAATTTCAGGAATGGTTGGGGACTAAAGAAAGAACTCTCTAGCTCCATCCATGTGAAGCCTGGCGAGGTCTGCTCCTCTTGCACTGGTCATCAGCATTGTGTAAAGAGACTGATACACTTGAGTGTGCAAGCAATGAACCCGTTTGACATGCTGCTACGAAGACTACTTTTAGATCAATTAAAAAAAAAAAAAGGAAAAAACTAACCTACAAAAAAACCCCCACCCTTTATTCTTTAATTGTTGCTTTTACAGTGATATTGTGCATGCAAACCAGGAGCATTTTGTGTCTTAAGAAAAATAATCTTAGAACAGATGGCTGTGAAAATTACACCCGTGCACAGAACAAGTCACAGGAATAATAGTTCAGGATTTGGTTTTTCTCTTTTTTCTTGTAAAACCTGAAGGGTTGATATATTCTTTCCATGCAGTTATTAGAACTTAGTTTTGTTCTAGCAGTTGTTAAACTTGCAATGAAAAGGAAATGTGCCATTTTTTTTCCCACTTGGAACTATTCTTAGCTGTATATTTGAAACTGCTAATTACACACGTGCGATGTATGTTGGTTTTTTAGTGCAATTTCTTCTGTAGCTATTCTTTGACCAAACTGTGGGTATTGTTAATATTAATTTATATTTGTCTCATTTTTGTATGTATGCGTAGCGTGTTTGTAAGTATGTGTGGTTTATAATCTGACAAGGTCATGAAGCTCAGTTTGGCTGTAATTTAATTCCCCTCCCCTTATTTTTATTTATTTTTGTACTGTGCTGATTAAATAAAATGCACTGACCATCCATTACACAGACCATTTTTTGTGGGCACATCCTTCAAGAGCAGGTTGGGGCTCACTCATTTTTATAAAGGAGTCCTGTGCTCAGAACATAATTGGATTGCGGTGTGGGGGAGGGGAGGAGGGCAGGGTTAGGGGAGAAGGCTTAACAATTGTGTTCACGGTTAAGGTGATTAAGAAAGAAGCCCAGGTGAAGTCAGCTTGGGTTTCCCGGCGTGGCCAGGGCAGGAGTTGGTCTCCCAAGGCCCAGGACCTCCGATCAGGGAGAGTCAGGCCCAGGCGTGGCCTGGCGAGGGTTGGGCCCCCGGCTGTGCGGGGCCGGGCTCTGCCTGTAGCCCACTGCCCGGAGGTCCCGAGGCCAGCAGGAGCCGGCTGGGTCCGTGTGGTTCAGCGCCGCCAACCTAGCTCTGCGCAGGTTTCCAAAGGAGCAAACTCCAGCTCCCAGCTAAGCAGCCTCCCTAGCCCCCAATTGTAGCAAGGCTGGGGCCCCCTACCGGTTGTATTGCCATCGGTCTGTGCTCCCTCTTGCCACCAGCCTGAGCCTTAGAGACCTGGTGTGTTGGTCTCAGCCCTCCCCAGGCTCGGCGCCTGGCGGGCTGGAGCTGCCCCGGGCCTTGGGGGGCACCTGTGCAGGTTGTGCCTTTGAAGCTGGCAGCCTTGCGATCGGGGTGCCTTGTCTTCTGAGTCAGAAGCCGTGGTTGCGTGCTCTGGCCAGTGACCGGGGGTCGGGAGCATCCTCTGGCTGCAGCACCCTGGGGTGCTGGGGTGGCCCCATCTCCCTACAGGCCTTGCTTGCTGGCAGCTCACCCATCCCAACCAGTGGGTTCGGGGAGGGGCTGACCAGCCAGCCAGCCAGGGTGCACTCAGGCCTCTCCCTGAGCTGCAGCCCTGGAGATCCGAGTCTTGCCTTTATTCTCTGCGCGCTTGGATTTCAGTAAAGGTGAAAGCAATGCGCTTTCAGTGCGCAGGCCTCAACATAGTGGAAAAGTGTGGATTTAACACCGCCACTCGGCCCCCTCCTGGCTCCTTCTCCCCACAGCTGTCTTCTCACTAATATTTTTCATCAAAAGCCCCAGGCCAACTATCTTCCATTTTTACCTTGTGCTTAATGCTCCTTTCAGCCTCCAGAATAACAATTGACTTTCTACATGCCCAGATTTCACCATTTTAGATAGTTTTCAACTCAATAAGCAGAATACCTTTAAGAGTAAGATTTAATGCTTTATTGCTCTTGATGATAAATCAAAATATGCTTTAGAAATAAAGTTAATTTAATGGAAAATAGGAATATACGCACCAAACCATAAAACCACATTTAACTAAATCACGAGAAAACACTTCATTGCATACAATCACTGTGTCCCTCCTGCTTTGCCTTCGCACCGTGATCACACCTGGAATTCTTTCCTTCAGTGGCCACACACACTGTGACTTCTTGCAGGACATCATGAAAAAGTGCTTGTGGATGGTGCTGGCGCATCGGCCCTCAGCTGGGAGGCGCTGAGCTCAAGGCCAGAGGCCACACCCAACGGTGGGAGGTGGGACTCCGGACTCCCCCTTCCTCTCCAGCCTCCAAAAGGCACTCATTTGGCATATTCTGTTTTGGTGTGTCTAAAACATAACCTTTGCATGTATCTAGTAAAGCAACAAGTTTGGGGGCAGTAATTGGAAAGGAGAGGCGATGTTCCAGTTAGGGAGGACCGATAGTGTAAGGCAGTTGGCAAAGCTGTGGGTGTTGCTGAATGGGGCCCTGTGCGGGCAGCTGACCAGGCTTGGAGGATGAGAGTGGGTTTCAGAGACCTGGATGGCAGCAGGGCTCTTGTGCTGTGGATGCTATGGGGTGTGCATGTGCTCGGCATCGCGGCAGCGGGCCCTGGGTGTGCCAGGCGGGGCTGGGGTGTGGGGTGGGAGGGGCGTGGAGATGGGGAGCGGGGAGGAGCATGCAGGGGGTTGGGGAGGAGCCCCAGCGGCGAAACAGTGTTCTTTTCGACACCCTGTCTGGCTCCACCTGGGGCGTGGGCTCATTCTTAGCGCCTCCTTCACCACATGGGGTGCCTGGGTCTTGACTCTTGAAGGTTCCAGGCTGGGAGGCCTGGGGCTGCCCAGGGGAGTGCGGCGTGGTCCCGGGGCGTCTGGAGCACACGTACGCTCTGCAGGGCAGGGACTGGCAGGGTGACCACTCTCCTAGCCTGGGTGGGCATCCTGGCCTGGCCCGCAGTGCCAGGACCCCCGCTCTCTTTCCTATCGCTCCCGTTCCCCAAGTTCCTGTGGGCCTCGACCCTCCCGCCCCTGGCCTGGTTCTCCACGTGAGTGTGAGGCAGAGGCATTGGAGGGGGAAGACTTCCAGACCCCCGAGTGCTCCCCTTTTATTCCATTTTATTAGTGTTCCTGACACCAGTGTGGGTAGAGCGGACGTGGTGTCTGGTTAGTAACCCTGCTCCTAACTGCAGAAATGAGTGTAAGACTACCATGGCCTGGGCTGCGTGGATAAGTAGGATGATTCCTGGAGCGTCCCCGAACCATGCTCTCTGGGCAGAGGGTCAAGGGGCTGGGCCGGCTCCGAGCGGGACAGACTGCCCGCTGGGCGGCATGGTTCCTTTGGCCAGGGGCTCCTGGGCGGAGGGGCTGGTTCTCCGGGTGAACCTGCTCACCTGGTGGTCTCGGCGGGCTGCTGGGGAGAGGGGGTTCATGGGGAGCTCTGAGAAGCTCCCTGAACCAGGGCGTGGGGTTGCCATCACCTTGGGGAGGAAGGGGCAGCTGGCCCCAGAGAGAAGGCAGGGCTACCTCCCCACAGCCGCCCCCAACTCCAGGGGCTTGGCTTTGGTTGGAAACGACATCCAGGCTCCCCCAGCCCTCCCCTGGCAGGGCCAGTCACAGGGCCAGGCAGGCCGATCTGACCTGGCATGGGGGTGGCCCTCGCTGACCAGAGGGGAGCTGTTTTGGAGGGGCTGCTGCAGGCTGGGCTGGACACAGGGTCTTTGATTTGTTGAGGGGGCCGTGGACAGTCGGGACAGAGGAAGACAGAGATCAAAGGCAGAAGCCGGGCTGGCCCTCGGGGGGGATTCGCAGGGGAGGCAGGGGGCTTCCTCCCAGCCTGGACCCTGACGAGCGGGCGTCTAGTGGCGGCTGGGCGGGCAGCCCTCGTCCCCCTGCGCCTCAATTGCCGGGCACACTGAGGATGAAGCCCGAGCGATTCTTGGTGAAGTCAGGCTGCGGCTGGTTGAGCCGTGTCTCCACGGAGACTGTGCACTTCTTCCCGTGCAGGCTGCACTGGACGGGGTTGGTGACATTGACTTGCAGGTGGCGCTTCTCACTGGAAGAACCGAGAAGACAGGCAGTCAGCAGGCGGCCGGGGCTGGGGGAGTCTCCGGGCCACACAGGTGCCCCCCAGGCTGGGCGCAGAGAGGGGGAGGATGGGAGAGATGGCGCTTGGCTATACGCCCAAACCAAAGTCAGAGGGGAGCCAGGGCTCAGCTCCCGAGAACCCACACACGGGGCAGGACAGAGCACGGAGCCACAGCGGAGCCACGGCCACCACCCTCAGACCTGAGGCCAGGGACCAGGGCCTGGACTTTAGATGTCAGCTGGGCATGTCGCGGCAATGGGCTCTGATGTGATCATCAGTTCTTTCTGATGGCAAGAGAGAGCCCCAGGGGTAAATGGGGGCTCTTCCCTACCCATGGTCCCCGACAAGAGCAATGCCTTCCGTGAGTCCTGGCTCGGCCCTGCCTGTTGTGGGTCTGGCTGTGAGAACCAGCCTGATGCCAGCGGCCCTGGGGTGGGGGGTGCTGCTCCCACATGGGGTGGCTCTGTGGCTGGCAATGTGGCAGGGAGGGTGAGCAGCGCTTCTACCCACATGGCAGGCAGCTCGTGTGTGTTTCCCAGTCTGGGGGCCACGTGGCTCTCCTGGCCCAGCCGGGGTGCCAGGCGGGGAGGCTGCACACCTGCTAGGTAGAAGCAGTACCCATCCTCCGGCACCTTGAGACGCGTTGACTGCACTTCAGATGCCGCTTACATAAGAGCTGGGAGACCTGGCGGCCGGCACGGTCTCACCCTGCGCCTCGAGCCTCGCTGGCTTTCTCAGCGCTGGGAGGTCTGAACCGGCTGGCCCACCTTCGATTCCCCCGGGGCGCTCTTGGGTGTGGTCAGGTTGTGTTCCCTGGGCGGTGGCTGCTCTTGGCAGGGGATGCCAAGGGTCCACCTGGATGGGAAGCCAGGCCGAGGCTGGCACAGCTGCACGTCCGCCCAGCCTGGCCCAGGGGAGAGGGAGGCGCTTTCCAGGCACTGCTGGGCTTGGGTGACACCATCACTCAGACCCTTTACTCCGGAGGAAGAGCACCCGCGGGCTCTGAGTGCCCGGGACACCGGGCTGGCCTTTGCCGGAGCACCGAGTGGGCAGCCGTGGCCGTGTTCTTAGGGGCTTTCCACATGGCTGTTTCCTAGCAGCTTTCTTGTTCAACGTGTTGTTGAAGCAGAAAATGGACACAGGAAGAGACCCATTGTTATCTCTCATGGGCACTAGGTATCTGCTGCTTAATGTCTCGTCTGCTGCAGCTAAAACCTTGGCTTAGATGGCTATTTTTAACCAGGCTTGGGCATAAAAATAGCAGAGCCCGTTGGGGGCAGTGACTCGGGCACCTCTTCATCCCTGCGGGAGCCGGGCTGCTGAGCCTGTGGTCTTGGCGAGGGGCGCTTGGACCCTCCGGACCGAGCAAAGCCCCAGCGCTGCAGCCCTGCTTGCAATTGGAGATGCCCTGAGTCCCTGCCTGTCTTTGTAAGGCTGCTGTGGGGTTTGGGCAGAAGAGAGGGGGTTGAGTAGTTACATGTGTTGAGGGCAGGAAGAAGACCTGGCTTTTTGGTGTGAAGAGCTAGGCAGCTAAGCAACCCCCGGCTGATGCCATCCACACTTCCATCAACAGACAACAGAGTAAGGTAACGTGGATTGAGTCCGACTTGAAGAGGAAGAGAAGAGAATTACCACACAACCCACTTCTGGATATACACGCAAAAGAAATGAAAACAGGTGTTCAAACAAAAACTGGTATAGAAATGTTTACAGCAGCATTATTTACAATAATGCAGAATAAGCTTTGGATACATTTCATCCATTTATGATAATGAAGAACCTCTTCAGACAGTGGGCACAGAGAGAACACACTTCAATATAATAAAGGCCATGTATATGGCAAACCCAGAACTCACATCATACTCGGTGATGAAAAGCTGAGAGCATATTCTCTACGATCAAGAACAAGACAAGAGTGCCCACTCTGGACACTTACTCAACATGGTTTTGAAAGTCCTAGCCACAGCAGTTAGAGGAGAATGACCACAATGCCCAAAGCAATCTACACAGTCACTGCAATCCTAATCAGCTTACCAATGGCATTTTTCACAGAACTAGAACAAGAGGTTTTAAAATCTGGGTCTCCCTGTGGCTCAGCAGTAAACAGTCCATTCAATCCCTGGGTCGGGAAGATCCCCTGGAGGAGGGAATGGCAGCTCACTCCAGTATTCTTGCCTGGAAGGTCCCATGGACAGAGAAACCTGGTGGGCTACAGTCTGTGGGGTTGTTGCACAGTTGGACACGACTGATCAACTGAGCACTCAAAAAAATTCTTTTTTGAAAAAACACACGGAGACACAAAAGCCCCTGAAAAACCAAAACAATCTTGAGAAAAAAGAATGGAGCTGGAGGAATCACCCTCCTTGACTTCAGACTATACTACGAAGCTACAGTCATCAAAACAACATGGTACTGGCATAAAAACACACATATAGATCAGGAGAGAAAGCCCAGAAATAAACCCACACACTTATGGTCAATGAATCTACGACAAAGGAGGTAAGAATATAATGGAGAAGAGATAGCCTCTTCAGTAAGTGGTGCTGGAAAAACTGGACAGTAAAAGCATGAAGTCAGAACATAACACTATATACAAAAATAAACTCAAAGTGAATTAAAGACTTAAGTGTACACCAGATACTATAAAACTCCTAACATATGCCTAGGAGTGGGATTTTAGGGTCATAGGGTAACTGTAGTTTTTAAAGGAAACTCTACCTTCCTTCATAGTGGCTATACCAATTTACAATCCCACCAAGAGTGTAGGAGGGTTTCTTTTTCTCCACCCCCTCTCCAGCATTTAATATTTGTAGATTTTTTGAAGATGGCTATTCTGACTTGTGTGAAGTGATACCTCATTATAATTTTGATTTATATTTCTCTAAAAATTAGCAACATCAAACATCTTTTCATGTGCCTTTTGGCCATCTGTATGTCTTTGAAGAAATGTCTATTTAGGTCTTCTGCCCATGTTTGATTGGGTTGTTTATTGTTTTGATATTAAGCTCTATGAGCTGTTTGTATATTTTTGAAATTAATCTCTTTTTGGTAGCGTTGTTTCCAGACATTTTCTCCCTTTCTGTAGGTTGTCTTTTTTTTTTTTTTGTCTATGGTTTCCTTTGCTGTGCAAAAGCTTTTAGGTTTAATTAGGTCCCATTTGTTTATTTTTGTTTTTATTTCCATTAGGAGACAGATCCTAAAAGATACGGTTACAATTTAGGTCAAAGAGTGTTCTGCCTATGTTTTTCTCTAGGAGTTTCATAGTACCATCCCACTCCTGGACATGTATCTGGAAAATACCGTAATTTAAAAACATACATGCACCCCAGTTCACTACAGCACTATTCACATGGAAGCGAACTGAATTTCCCCTGACCAATGAATGGATAAATAAGATGTGGTACATACACACAACGGAATGTTACTCAGCCATAAAAAAGGGGCAAAAGAATGCCACTTGCAGCAATATGGATGGATGTAGAGATTATCATACTAAGCGAAGTAAGTCAGAGAAAGACAAATATATGATATCACTTATGTATGCAATCCAAAACTTGGTAGAAAGTTTAAAATCTTATTTACAAAACAGAAATTGACATACAGACATAGAAAACAAACCTATGGTTCCCAAAGGGGACAGAGGGCAGGGGGAGAGAGAAATGAGAAGACTGGGATTAATATATACACACTGCTATACATAAAGTAGATAAACAACAAGGACCTCCTATGAAGCACAGAGAACTATATTCAATATCTCATAATAAACTATGATGGAAAATAATCTGAAAAATAATACATACACATATAACTGAATCACTCTGCTGTATACTCGAAACTAACACATTGTAAATTAGCTATGCTTTAATAATTTATAGGTAAAAATAACCCAAACATCTATCAACTGAGGAAGGGACAAACAAATGTCCAATGCAATATTATTTAGCCATAAAAAGAATGAAGTAATGATGCCTGCACAATATATGGATGAACCTTGTTAAGCTAGACAGAAAAAGCTACATGTTATATAATTCCACTCATATGAAATGTCCAGAATAAGCAAATTCATAGAGACAGAAAACATATTAGAGGAGCTGGGGTGTTTCCTTTGATGAAAATATTCTGGAACTAGTCAGTGGTGATGGGTGTACAACAGTGAACGCACTAATTGTGACTAATGGTAAATTTTAAGTTAGGGGTATTTTACCACAATTTTTTTTTTCAAGTGGGTTGATCTAAAGGAAATGTTAGAATTTGTCCTCAAACCGTGTTTTTTTCCTCAGCATTTTAAGTTCAAACCAATATGGTTTGAAGGCCAGCGAGGGGTTTCTTGTGCTTATCTTGAAGCCAGACCAGCGCGGGAGGGTCCAAAAGGCAGACAAGGGAGCGGATTCTCCGCAGGTGTCAAGTGACACCTTCTGCTGGAGCTTCACCACACTGGAAATCTTCATGGAACCAGCGCACCCTCCTTAGTTTTTAAAGAAAAGACCAGATTTGATAGCTGCCGGTGACAGCTGCCGGTGATGGAGGCTGCTGGCTGTGAGGGGGAGGGGCTTTCCTCCCGTCTTCTGTTACCGGATTTAATGGCTCAGCAAACTGTGGAATTCGGGGACTTTCATCTCGTTTCATCTGTTCCAAGCCATCATTGCAGACAAATGGCCTTGATCAAGTTACTTTGCTTCCGTTTCCTCCAGTCCTGTGCTCATCAGAGAAATCCATGGGTCAACACAAGACCGGATCTGCGGGCATCCTTTGCAGCGGTGCACTGAAAAGTTCTGCATTAAGTGTGGTAGTGCCAGTGTCTCCAGGGGCTGCACCAGCCCAGAACTTGTCCCCTGCTGTCCAGACCTCTGGTCAGCAGAAAACTCTTGTCCTGCCCCCCAGCAGCCTGGGACTTGAGCCACATTCTCTTTTTTTTTTAAAAAAAGAAAAAATTATTTTGTCTGTGCTAGGTCTTCGTTGCTGCGAGA